TTATTATTATTATTATTATTATTATTATTATTATTATTATTATTATTATTATTATTATTATTATCCATCTTTTCTCCACAAACTCAAAAACATAGTATAGAATTTTTCCCGAAGTTTTTTAGTCCATCATAGTAATTAACACATTGCCATCATAGCAATACTTTGGAAATTTATTGCTGATTGCTTGAAATATATTAATGAATAGTGCACATATATCTCAAAATATAAATAACAAATGAAATATACAGTATGCTATCAAATCATCAATATAGTGATAGAATTCATAAAATATTTCATGAAAGACCTCTGTGATTTAATATGTACAATTACTTTTTCAGTGTTCAGTTAGTTCATGGACTTTGAAATTAATATTGCTTGTGTTCAGTCATATTTTATAATAAGCAAAGGTGTAAATAAGTCTTGGCTATGCATAACAATCTCTTCCTGGGAGAAATCAAGCTAACCAAAAAGTCTTACACTGACTACAGTTCTTTATTCCTCTAAGATTTACTTAATAGTCTGAATTGTCCAGTATTATGGTTAACTAATAATTCAGTGATCCTGAGCTATAATTAAATTTCTTCTACTTTCCAATATCACTTTAAAACAATGAATTTTCTAAACTTCTCAAACATTATTAAACTTTTCCTTTCTCCTCTATGCACCAGGAATGCAGTCCAGGATTGTATCGTGAGAGTGTGGGTCAATTTATGGGAAAGTGTGTTCCGTGCAATTGTAATGGAAATTCAGATAGATGCCTGGATGGTTCTGGAATTTGTATTGTAAGTATTTACAACAAATGTTGCTGCAAATGCTCTTATTAATTTCTTTTGCTTCAGGCCAGTAATAACTTTGAGATAAATTGCTTGTGTCTGCAAGAACACAAACATCTTTGAGGTACGGTAAAAACTGACATATCTATTACAGCAAAAATGTCCACAGAAGTTTGTCAGCTTTGAAGCATGAATTATCTTTGCTTGCTATGCTTGCATGCATTTCATATTTTTTCTATTTTAACAAGAGTTATCAAGGTTGCACTTGCACACAGTTAACTTAGCTTATAGGCTGAGATATAGTATTACTCTTTTCTTCCTGTGAAGAGTTCGTGTTAATTATGGCTTTCATGATGTATCTGAGCAATGAACAATAAAATAAACCAAGATGTTAAGCCAACTTTAAAGATGGTTTCATTTCACTTGTTTGCCTCATTAAGCTGTGGTCATACATAATGTAGCCATGGAATTTAATAGCAGTTCTTGCCAAAGAATAAACATTGGCAGGGTTAATTTATAAGCAAGGGGAAAGGAACTGGAGGTATAATGTTAACCTACCCAGACATGTGATCTCTACACAGCAATGTTGGTTTTTGGTATTATTTCCTTTTGAAATTAGTCAATCAAAGCAAATATGTATAAAGGAACGTGACTGGCAATAGTTGTTTGAAAAAAGTTCTTATTCAGGGGACAAGGCGTGCATTTTTTTGCATACCACAGACTTGCAAAACATTTCATTGCTTTTTTTCTATAGTATACTGAAAAAAATATTCTTAAGTTCTTTTTTCTTAAGTAAATACATTTGCAACCTAGCCTCTTTCTTTGCCCACATTTTTTTTGTTTATACTTACTCATTATTCATTGCCTGCATAGAGTTCTTTGATATTACACAATACTTTTCTTGACTTTTTTTTTGATAAACCTTTTTGAGTTTAAATGTAGGAGCTGTTCGCCAAATTAGCTTGTTCCAAATAGGTGTGAATCATATGGCATTTTGATTGAGGAACAGGCCATAACAAGCAAACACAACCAGCAAGAACTAGATAGTGTACATTGCCCTAAGAGAGGAATTTTCTAAATATTAACTTTTTCAGTTTTGTTCTAAGTATCATTAATGCCCATCAGAGCTACCAGATTGGGTGGCACAAATCCACATGCTCCTAGATGGTAGGATAAAATCTAGTAGTTGTCTGTTTTTTGTTTTGCAACCCAGACTTGGTAGCCCCAATGGTTATCCATACTGCATATTAGATAAGTATCATATTTGCAGTAGATTTTTATAGCATGCATTCTATTTGGATAGCTAGTTAATATTGTTAGTTAAGTCAGAAATGAACATTGAATGAGATTTTAAAATAGTTTATAAGGTGTTACTCTATGTTCCTTTAGATAAAAAAATAATAATGAATTTATGACAAAGAAATAATTTACAGATAAATAAATAAATCAACTAGTATCAGGTAGACTAAGAACTGTTCATATGAGGAGAAAACACATGGATGCAGAAGATATGAAGCCATATAGCTTTAAGTTCCTCACTGCCCAGTGCCTAATACTAGCATATTATGACAGAGGAATGATATTAATACCAGTAGAGTAGGACTGATGATTAATACTGCAATAGGATTTACTTTTCATCTGGTGGGAGAACTTTTCATTTTTCCAGTCCTTCTAAGTTATAATATGAAAGCCAGTTTGAGTTTGGTCTAGTAGTTAAGGCACTGAACAAGAAAGTGGGAGGTGGTGACTTCAAGCCATGAAAGCCAGCTGGTTAACTTTGGCCAGTCACTCTCTAAAAACCCACTTCACAGGATTGTTGTTGTGGGGAAAATAGATGTGCTAGATATGTTCACCACCTTGAGTTATTTGTAAAAATAATACAGGTAGGATACAAATAAATACAAATATGCATCAACAAGTTATATAGATCAGTCTGTATCAATGTAAAAATATTTCAGCCTCATGAGACAAATTGATCTTCAGTCAAATGCTCTATTGGTGAACACCCCATTGCTTTAAGCAGTGAATCTATACAACTGAAGATGACCATCAAAATATCAGTCTAATTTATTTATTAAGAGAACCTACAAGCTGGGTGAAAGCAAACTTTATTATAACTGCTAAATCACTTCTGACCAAGAGTATCTTAATTGTAAAACACTTGCTACTTTAAATTAATAATGTGTGACCATCTGTGTAATTACATTATGCCATTACTTCTGGAACTAAGCAGGAAACAATTGTTCACACACTCTTTAGCCAGATACTAACTGGGTCTAATTTATTTCTTCAATCTTGCAATAAAGTAAATATGGGGTGGCTTGCAGCATATCAATGATCATTTTCTCATGTTGGTATTACTAATAAACTTGAAAAATAAGACCACTGCTAACCTTCTGCCTTCTGTATATTTTTAAAAAGAACTGTCAACATAATACTGCTGGAGAAAAGTGTGAGCGTTGTAAAGAAGGATATTTTCGAGATGCCAGTCAAGGACTTTGTAAGGAATGTCACTGCCCTTACACAAACAGGTACTCAGTTGGGTTGACAGTGGGAAGCTGTATTTATTATGCTTGGTTCAAAGTTGCCCTGGTGAAAATACTGTGTCTTTATGATAGTGAGAACAGCTATTAGATAATTCAATGCTATGATGCACAAATGATAGAATTTTGGTGTCATTGTGGCTCGTCATGGACAATGCTGGACAATGCACAGAGGGTAAGATGATAATCATCACTCATCTTGAACATCTTCATATAAAATAAAATAAGAAATTTCCTCTGAAGAAAAAAATCATAAAGCAATTTTCAGTTTTAAGTGCATTTACTACAAATAAATAGCCATTTTAAGTGAGATATTGATGACCTTGGATTAAAAGCGCGATTGCAGTGTGACTCATGACCTTAATAAAGCCTTTACTAAATTGGTACCCTCTAGATGTGCTGGGCATCAATTCCCATAATTACCATACTAACATCCTAATGGAGTTGTGAAAATGTAAATCTTTGGAGGAATTTAGCTTGAGGAGGAGACAGGAGAGAACATATTTTCTGCATCATCGCAACTACAATTCACTTTAAAAGAAATTTATGGTGCAAGAGCCTTTGCCTACAATTTGTCAACTAGTTTGGCCTAAATAATGTACAAGCAAAAATAGTTGCAACTTGTCTGTGACTGAAATTTTTTGTGTTAGCCTTTTATTCAATGTTCACAGAGTAACATGACCCTTACATTATTTTTCTTTCCCATAAACTGCATAAATATGCCTTAAAAGAAAAAAAAGCTATTTTCAGGTTTTTCATGTTCCTTACATTTTTTATATTATTTATGTAGTTTTGCTTCCGGCTGTCTGGAAGTTAATGGAGAAATTCAATGTTTTTGCAAAGAAGGCTATTCTGGAAAGCATTGTGAAAGGTATGTGACTTGTCTCAATACTGATTCACTATGTGGAAAGTTAAAACAGATCTTTTCAACTGGAAACTACTAACATATTGGAAAATATTGTTTTCTAAACAGAGACAATATTTTCATGCTTTGGCTGGAGTCCAAAGTGCTACAAGGCTTCTAAACATGTACATGTGCACACATGCTCTCTTTAATAAACATAAGCTGCTGTCCTTGATTCAGTTTCAGAATACTCCATTCATCCAGTTCAGGACTATTTAATTTCATGTTCTTTGAAGTAAATTGCACCAATATCCAATTATGCATTAGATATGCATACTGTATACACTGATGTTTTTAAATCTGAAGAGTTGTATGAAGTATAGGTGTAGCCCCAGAAAGCTAGATATGCACAGATTCTTATGATATTAAATATTTGTGGACTGTACTGTCTCTATAGGGCTTATCAAATTAGAGATACAATTAAAAATAGAAAAGGCAATCATAATATTGAGGCTTCCTAATATTTTGCACTAGCCTGTCTATCAATACTTAGCAATGTGTTTGGAATGACATGATTATAAGCCTACCTGAAAATTAGGTGACTAGTAAGAACAGAGATTTAAAAAGTAGTAACCAAGTAACTTTTGGATGAAATGGATTCACTAAGTAATGGAACTCAAATGGATTATATATTTAATAAATTTAATACATGAAGAGCCATTGGCTTTGGGTTTGTATGTAAAATTCTGTTCTTCCTCTGTCTCTTAAAAACTCGGAAAGAATTAGGATGTAGTGCTAATTTTTCTATTGGCTATTTCTTAAGAATTGTTTCCTTATTTAGTTCTTTGAATAGTTCATAATGGATCTATTCTCTATCTTAGCCAAATATATTGTGATTTGTATTCTGAAATTTTGCTTTATTTGGTCAGATTAGACCATTGTAACACAAAATGTTAACATTTATGGATATGATGTGGATTTTTAAGCCAGCAGAAACTGTTGCATTGTCAGTTAAGTTAGATCACTTGTGAGTTTTATTTGTTAACTAATTTATTTTGTAGCTGTGCTCCTGGTTATTTTGGAAATCCACTGAAATACAGATCCTGTCAAAAATGTAATTGCCTGGAGAATGGCCAGCTCACAAAATGTGATCGCTTGACTGGGGGTACGTAAAGTGACATAAATATTTCTGAATAATATCAAAAAGAAAATCATATAATATTTGAATATAATCTCCCGTGCAAATAAAAGTTATATTTTCAATTCTCTGCTTATAGTTCTTCATTCTTGCTACAAATGATAGCCTAGTATAAGGATGAGAAAAATCTAGCTCTTCAGATGTTGTTGAAGTATAAGTCCCAAGATCCATTGGCTGCTGCTATAATTCCTCTGTATCTGAAAAACCTGTTTTACACATTTGTGGTTTTAATGAAGTAATTAAATGTATTAGTTAATGTTGAAACAGCATGATCCTGATTTATGTATCCTACATCCTACAGATTTCATTGCTGATTGTATTTAGGTAATTTAGATATCCACATGAATTATGAATTTCTTCTGTACAATTTTAATGTTAATTGTTTCAAAGTTTCAAGGAAGATAAACTTGAACAATAGACATGGTGAATATATTCAGATATTGCTGAGCTACAACTTCCAGCCACCTCAAGTAACATGGCCAGTAGTGAAAGATGCTGAAAGTTTTAATTTGAATTCCCAAATGTAAAATTGCCTAACTGCTGTGGGTCTTTTTTTAACAGCACAACTACCTGCAGAATTAAAGGAATCCTAAATACATTCTATGATTGCATCAGTTATAATATTCCTTTCATCTAAACATTCCAGTTGATTTCAATAATGTGTCTCTCTATAGCTTTGTTTAGCCATTTCTGAATCAGAACAAAGTTTGATATAAGAAAAAAAAATCATTAATGGATTATAATAGAAAAAGAAACACTATTTTATAATATATATCTGAGACATTACCTAAAAAGATATAATTTTATCTAAATGAAAATATTGCTCTATCAACAATATTCTTATAATGTCCCTTTAATGGATACCTTTATGTAGGGTTTTGTATTGGTGTGTGGGAATGACCATTCCCTGGGCAGCAACTCTGGGCCCAGTCTCCCAAAATTATTCCCACATAGCATTACAGATTTGTGGCTCATTTACTTGGTGCTTGCTAGTTAACACATATAGGTATTAGAGAGTTTGGTGCTTTGCGTCTTGATTTTTGAATTCAATTTGCCAGGCTGGCGCTCTTATTTCTATTAAGATGTTAACATCTAGAGAGCCACAGCTTTGCTACCCAGCATGCATTATATGCACTCTGTATTACTTAGAGGAGACATCAGACTTAGAGCCCATTTTAATTAATTAATTAATTAATTGTGCACAAGCACTTACATTTCAAATCTGAGTCAAAGACAACTGTTAGAGATGAGCAAGAAAGCAGAAAGTGGGGAGCTGAAGCAAGGAATCCAAATCCCAAACAAGAATATACAAGAGCTAGTAGGCTTGTTTCCAAGCCAACAAGAATCTTTCCTCAACCAGAGCCAAAGGCAAGCTGAAGGACATAGGGCCAGGCCCTATATCTGAAAAAATTTTACTTGCCAAGGACACATATCGGACTTTTATTTTGAGACTTGCACATATTTCTTAGTTCTAGTCTCCAAATGTTTGATGTAAGGAAACCTGTTTTATCTGAATATAGTATGATGCTTTCTGTCTCAAAGCATTGTTATTATCTCAATTCCATTATGTAAACTACTAGAATTATATAAATGGGCACATATATTTCAAACAACATATTTTAAAGTGCTGTTCTGCTGCTTAAATTAACAGTTCCTAGAACAAGTTGAGTCTCGATGCAGTTGCTTTAGCAAATCCTGATGTCATTGTGGTTTTGCTGTAGTGCATTGAGCCTTGGTTTAAGTGTGGTCATGCAGTAGCTTATTGAAATCTATAATTGCATATCTTTGGATGTTCTCATTCCTATTAGGCAATGACATGTCATATTTAATTGGTACCCTTCTTTATGTGTCATGAGATAAAAGTGATTAAAAGTGATAGACTACTTCGGTATTCAGCCTGGCTGGAGAAATTCAAGTCCATACATCTTAAAGTTACTGAGGTTGAGAAAAACCTGTCTACTTAATCTTCAATAGCAATATTTGCCTCAAATTTTGTATTTGCTTGGCTTGCAAAATTGCTTTAACTTGGAAGTTGAAGTTAATGAGATGAGGTAATAAGGACGTCAGAAGAAATCACAAGCTATAAGTATTGTGCTGCGTATACAGAGAGTCCTCAACTTACAGCAATTCTTTTAGTGACCGTTCAGAGTTACAACAGCACTGAAAAAGTGACTTATGATCATTGCAGCATCCCCATGGTCACGTGATCAAAATTTAGATGCTTGGCAACTGGTTCATATTTATGATGGTTGCAGTGTCCCAGGGTCCTATGATCACCTTTTGCAACCTTCTGACACGCAAAGCCAGTGGGAAAGCCAGATTCACTTAACAACCATGTTATTCACTCAACAACTGCAGTGATTCACTTAACAACTGTGGCAAGAATGGTTATAAAGTGGGGCAAAACTCACTTAACAAATGTCTTGCTTAGCAACATAACTTATGGGCTCAATTGTGGTCGTAAGTCGAGGACTACCTGTGTTATATTTTGCAGTATTTAATCACTGTAGCATACTATGGACTGAATTGGGGTGTAGGAAGAGGAATCTGTTTTGAAAAGGTCTTTTAGAGACTTGGCAGCCAGCAGTCTTTTGACAGCATAGCTCCTTGAGAGGCCAGTATCCCTCCTCTTGTGATAATGAAATCATACTGGCAGAAGAGGCAGCCACAATGTGGACCAGCATAGCTGGCTGGAGAATTCTGGAAGTTGAAATCTACAAGTCTTAAAGTTGCCAAGTTTGGAGACCTCTGTCATGGACACTTGCATGAACCCAAACTCTTCCCTGATTAATAAGTTGTACAGGAATAGCTCAAAATACTTCTAAATGTAGTGATTCCAAGAACCATAATTACGGTTGTTTTGGTTGAATGTTTTGATTATATTTTACCATGTTTGCATTCTAATGCCATATCTTTTGTTTCTGAGCTCGAAGAGTTAAATCAGTGGACAAGTTCAAGAGACCTTGTTTACCTGCCTGCTAAGATACTTAGTAAACAATGCCTTGGATTTCTGAAGGGCCCAGGAGTGTGACTCAATATTATGGTATAATTTGTTCACATTAGCTTAAGATGTTACTTGAGGAAAAACAAGAAAGCAAAGTGTAAATTTAACTTTGGGGAGAACTCTACAAGATGCTATAAACTTCCTCTCTAATATATTTTTATTGTAAGCCTCCAACTTTGGAGAATGAAATGGGAGGCATATACATTAAGTAAAGAAAGAGAAAAAGTAGGTAAATAATATTTTACAATATTGATTCTAGGGAACTTGCTACCTATGTTTTTACCTGCATAACAATGTTCAGCTTTCAATGGAGTGAAGAGGGCATCAATAACACTATCAGCTTTCTGACATTTTAGAACATCACATCCTGTAATTGTTGCATCCTGTAATTTTAATTTCTCTCTCTCTTTTTTCTTTTAATTTCCAGAATGCATAAGCCAAGAACCAAAAGATATAGATCCAAATGAAGACTGTAATTGTAAGTTATAAACTTTATTTGGTCTGAAAGCTTGCTTATATGTATAGCACTAATAAAGAGCTATGTGTTGAGAGATTAGAAAGAGCAATTCTGGTGTTTTCTTGTAGATAATAAGTCTATTCAGAAAAAAGTTATCTAAACCCCCAGTAGTGAGAGGGAATCTCTCTGTTAATGTTGAGGATGCCAAAAGTTGTAATCCAACACATCTGGAGGGCAGCAAGTTAGGAAAGATTAAACCAACATGAGAGATATACAAAGAATGGCTTCAAGGATTTGGTTACCATCTTACATTTATTGGCTTTATTGGTGGTTGTAACAGTAAAATAGTGCAGACAAGCAGCGTAGTTGTATGACAAACAGTTTTATAACACCATTTCAAAAGTTTTGTTATTGGTTTCAGTAACAGATAACATTTTCTGAAAATATCTTTTGTCCCATAATTGTTTTCACTTTTTTTAAAATATGCAAAAAGAACACTTTAAACTCTTCTGTGTGGGCTCTTTTTTGTTTAGCTTGTGAGAGTTGTGTAATCACATTGTTGGAAGATTTGAGTACAATGGGAAGTGAGCTCCGAGTGATTGAATTTCAAATGCAAAGTATCAACACTAGTGCCCAACTGCTGGGCCAGATGAAACACCTGGAAGTCCGTAGCAAGCAACTAGAGGTAACTCAAACTGGCTTTCCATGGGATTGGATACATTTTCCTGAGGCTTGAGTACACTTTTGAAATATGCTTTAGAAGCAATTCAGGAAGAGAAGTGTCATATTAAGTGTTTTTATGGGACTGGAATATGGTTCTGAATTTTGATGAAACCCATTACATTACTCTTTCTTATGCCACTTCAAAAGAAAGACTCTAGCAACCAACTCAGATTAGACTGTTGGAATGTATTATTCATGGATCTGTCTTAGAAGCCTTCTTTAAAATTTAACTCAGCCCAATTCCTGCACAACTTCTGCTGACTTCATGGACATGTATTCTTTGCAGCATTTAGCAATATTGCCTTCTTCTGGTTAGTTAGTCAAAAGCATAGTGCTAAAATTTTGATTGAAATGGAAATAAATGTACTTTTAGCCTTGGGATTTGATAATTAGAACTGTTTATACCTATAGAATAACTGGGTGCTATGTTTTACTCTAGTTCAAAGAAGCATTATATTCAATGCTTATACCTGTACCAAAGAAAGTTGGAAGTTATCCTTTTCTACAGCTTTTTGTTCCTTCTGGGCTATACCTCTAATTTTGCTTTTTCCTTTGTCCCACTTTCCTCCCTTCAACTTTTTTTTGCCTTTTTATTTTATATTTTGCCTTTTTATTTTATATTTTTTAAAAGTTCAATAAAGTGTTATTACCTAAGATATCTGCGATATTTTGTGAGAAGAGTCATACCAGCTGCAAAGTCATTGACTCTTGATTAATGTATTTTTTTTCTTTTTATGTACACTGAGAGTATATGCACTAAAGACAAATTCCTTGTGTGTCCAATCACATTTGGCCAATAAAGAATACTATTCTATTCTATTCTTTTTTTTTAAAAAAACAAGTTTTATTAAAAGTTTCAACAACAAACAAATCATTACATATTAAATCTTTCCCTGTCTTTCTACAATAATTTCCCCAATATTCTCATAAAACACAAACAAACACAAACAAACATAAAAAAATCTTTTAGTAAAGTACCTTGGCCCCAGTTACCTCTCTTTGCATGGGCTAAAATAATAGCGCATATCACTCTTCACAATTCTATCTTATTTAATCCATCTTAATTAAATCATTAAATTTGTATCTTTTGCCCATTCATTATCCCTCTATCTCTTCTTATAATAAAAAGAATTTCTCCTGAAATCACTAATCAGAGTATGATGCCTTTCTATCCTCCCCCTAAGTTAGTAAAATTAACATTCAACATAACAAATACCCAATTTGGTTCTGCTTGGTACATTCTATCCACCAAAAATGTTTAAATACATTGTATCCTCCTTTCCTTCGATATTTTATTACATTTTAAAAATCAATCATTATTAAAAACTTCAACATTTTAATTTCTTATTAAATCTTAAACCATTCTAATTTACTATTTCAAATATAAATGTTACAATACCATCTTCTGTACCTTAGCAGAATCTTTCTTACAGAAATTTATATTTCATCCTTTGTCTCTAAAAAAAATCCCTCTTCTCCCATCCAATTTTAAAGCTTTAAGGCTTTTCTCCGCCTTTCCCCTTTCTTTCTTCCCCCACCAAATCTTCCTACCCCCCCTTCTTCTTCTAACCTCTGCCTTGCTAGGATCCCTTCTCTGTTGCGTTCCCTTTTTCTCTTGTTTGTTATCATTATATTTACTTTGCATCATATTTTTCTCTTTCTCAAATGTTTTTTTAGATCTTAAGTCCTTCATTTTCCTTGCTCTCTTCCTTCCTTCTTCCTTAAATAAGTTTTGGGATTCAATGAAGATGGCGTCTTCGTCTCTTCCTTGTTGTTCTTCTTCCGTTTCCATCTGTTCCATTGTCTGTTGGTAATTGACCAGCGCCATTTCTAGAAATAGAAAAGCTTTTTCCATGCCATCTTTGCAGGCTGCTTTTGTTTGCTCATATTCATCCCTCAGGTCTTCAAAAAGGAAAGCCATTATAAATAAATCTTTTCTTTTCTTTATTCCTCTTTCTTCTTACACCAACCAAATATTCCAAGAGAAAGGCAAAACAATCCCAAAATCCACAATCCTCAATAAATCCAAGCAAGCCAAAATTCCCCCTTCCTCTTCCAGGGGTGGTATCAAACAAATAAAAAAAAAGAGTCCAAATCTATATTTTAAAGCCTTATTAAGATTATATTTCTGTCCTCAAGTCTTCAAGGCATCTCCTCCAACAAGATCCAAATTTATATATTTTCTTTATCCTCTCCCTTCCGGCTTAATTCCGTCGGGAGGGAGAGTAAACTTTCCTTTCAGCACTCAAAATAGCCGCTTTTTTTTTTCTCTTGTGGAAGAAATCATCAAAAAACCATCTTTTCCAGGAATTAAATTAGATAAATCTCAAAGCCCTGGGTCGACCAAGAAGAACTTTCACTTTCAATAACTTTCTCTTCTTCCTCCTGCGCATACTTGCCCGGCTGTCAACTTCTTTGTGGCGGCCATTGCGGACCGCCGCTGCACCGTCCTGGTAAAAGGGGGTTCTGCCGGCCAGGGAGGGGGTCTGCAACACCCCCAAACCCTTCCTCCGGATCCCCCTTACCTTCAGCTACCCCTGCAGGGCAGCCTTGCTCCGCACCCGTCCGGGTCGGAGCCCCAAAACGGCTAGCGCGGCAGGGATCGCGCAGCTTCGCGAATCCCTACCGCTCGCGAAGCCGACAAACCGGAAACCCACTATTCTATTCTATTCTATTCTATTCTATTCTATTCTATTCTATTCT